AGCGCTAAATTAACAGCGTTAAGCGTCTTACTGTATAGACATATATAGTTACATTTGTAAGTATTATATTAACTATCATTTATGTAATAATCACTCAATCAAAATCATAATCACACATTATATAAATGATATTTACTATTTGAGAATTAAGCTTTAATAAATTTATTTACGCGAATTTGTCACTTAGAAATGACTATAGACTTGGCTGGCATTTTGAGAAAGACATATTTGTCGCTGTTCTAAGTCCTGCATCGCCTCGGTAAATCACGAGTCGAGATAGCATCGGAATATCGGGAAATCGAAATTATATTATTGCGGTAAATATCTCGTTTATGTAATGTGTACAATATAAAAAAAACGTTTATTTAAAAACCATCAAAATCAATATTAAACTTATCAATAAACAAAAAATAAATCGTTTTTTAATTTTAATGTTATTTCTTTTGATTACTTTGAACTTGTCTTCTGTTTCAATTTTTAGCAACAACGTTCCGTAATCACGCCCCTGAGCGGTCGTAGCAATTGTAAATCGGACCATACACGAATGTATACTTAAATTTGCGACGTACAACCTACATTACTGGCTTACAATTTACATTTCCACCTAACATTAAGGAATGATACAGCGCCTATCACCTACTAAAAATGTATGTATAATACCAATGCATACAAAAATACTTCGAAACCCTGTCACCCTCGACAATTTTGGAGCACCAATGAACACTTGAATATTAAAAATTTGGAAAAAGAATTGATGTATCTCATTACGGGGCACTGTTTCTCAGTCGATATCAGTCACAGAATGTGCACCATTCTAGCACTCCAATCAAATCACACGCACAATACCCATCTCTCAAAACGACAGTCCAATACCAATCCGGTACCGATTCTCTAAATGACTAATTCTGTAAATGGCAAATTCTCGAAAATTCTATAACATTTCGTAAATGGCAAATTCTCAAAGAATTAATTAATGATTATTTATTTGTAATAAATTTGTAAATATAAATGTAAATAAATGCTATTCTGAATTGGATGTATAAAATAAAAGTATATATTTATTTTTATTTAAATTTTCATAAATCATTAATTAGTCGTGAGAATTTGCCATTTATGAATTGTAGAATTCTCATTTTGAGAATTAATGTTTAATATAATTATATGTTTACGAGAATTAGTCAAATGGAGGTGACCATAGACTCGGCTGTCACTTTGAGTATAACATTACGTTTAAACCCTCCAACCTTACAGAATTACACCGATATTCTCTACAATTTAAGTACATATTACAACTAAAATTTACAAGAACAATAGTGACCTCGAATACAAAGACGTTGTAGTGTAGGCATCTCATAGTTGTACCCTATACTGTGTGCTTAGCTTATATATAATAAACAAATATATAATTAGACCCTCATTACTTTTTCTTATGGTACACCATAGACAATACATTTAATGTTTTGAACATTTTTAATTATGAATATAAAACAATATATCAATTCCAGTGGACGTTTTATAGGTCTAATTATTTAAAAAACAATTTAATGATTGCTAAATCTTTACATAGTATAAAATGAAGTCGCTCTCTCTGTTTGTCCGTTTAATCTTTTAACCTACGCGACGGATTTTAATGCTGTTTTTAGCAATAAGTTATTCAAGAGGTTTATATGTAATGATACATATAACTATACGATATTGTCAAACAATTACACATTATAGTTTTCACATATATATTTTTAATATATATATACGAATTATTGCTAAATAATTGACATATATTACACACAGTATATGCTATATGATAGTACAACGTCACATATACGAGGCACATGCTATAATTATATTTAAAAGGCCATCATTGCTACATGTCTTAACTTCGCGAGATCTTGCAGACTGTGGTTTTCATTACGAAGTAATAGTCACCAAAGATCTACTATAGTAATGTCAAAATTATGTATCTGTACTATAAATAGGAAACTGAAAATATGCAGAGGTTAAAGTTCAACCATACACCGCTGCAATTGAAGTTTACCTATTTCTAATATTATATGATACAGAATTTAGACATATAATAAAATAGTTTTTATTACAACGGAGCCGTTCAAGTATTGCGTAAGAAGATAGATTTATTACAATTATTAACCCCCCCCCCCCCCCCCCCCCCCCCTATCCCCCTGGTCAGCAAAAGTAAGCAAAGCTTTTACCCCCTCCCCTAATGCTTACGTAAACATTTTTAAATTAATGTATTGTTTTTTTAGCAAAGACAATGTGAGGATTGCCATTCGTGTAAAAAATGTAATCAACATCGAGACTCCCCCACCCCTCATGTCATCCAAAATAAGTAAAGCAAAGAAATAGTGCTTACGCAATACTTGAACGGCCCTTAATAAATTATAATGAAGATATAAAATTTGACAGGTTGCAATCATACGGGTTATTACATTATAATATATATATATATGTATGTATATATATATGAATATATATGATCACATCTACATTGTCATACAATATCAATAAACATTAACTATATACTGTATAGCTTAGATATGAAGGTACAATTTCGTTTTCCATCATAAATTTTATTTTCAATCACATTATTACATAAATATGATAGTGTAATACACTATAAGTAGATAGACAACAAGTAAACATTCAATATTCCTAAACGATACAAAATGTCTTTCTGATATTAAAATTGAATTGTTATAAAATAATATGTATGATATTGTAATAACCCATTTAACAGTGGGGCCAGTTTTAATTCGGTGTGATTTTTTTACAATCGTATACAGTTTTCGATGCTCCGTCGTTGTTGTAACATTGTATAGTCGTGTCACCATGTGTTTAAACATTTAAAATATTGGTCGAGAATGATATTGAATTAAACGAATCAATTCCATAACATTCTACTAACTTTACTTTGTTTGGTTACAAAATTGCTTTTGTTATTGCGAAATTTTATACATGTTTTGTGAATGAGAATCAAATATTTATGAGAATAAGAGGGTGTAACAAGACCAAAGCTAGTGCTTATGATTGCAAATGGTGTACCAAAACGATAGCTTATGTTAATGCTCATGAAAATAAAATTCTTTCCCCAAGAAATGAAATGGAAACTATAGTTTTTTAAACTTTCGTACAAATTGTAAAGTCAATTTTGTAGGAAAGTTCTAAATTACCACTTCATTGCTTGGTTATTTTCTTGACTTTCCACTTTGCTTGATTTTGCTTTGTTATATGTATACAACTAAATTATTAATACAAAAAAGGCAGTGAATTAACATGTTTCTAGTTACAATGGTTATTCCAATATTTATACTGTATTAAATAGATATTATAGATCCTTTATTTAAACTTATATGGAATAGTCTATGAGACTCCTCTCAACTTTTTTAATTAGAAAACATTTAGGTTGTAATTGTATTTAAATTCAAAAGCATTCTCAACCAATTTCTCATACAACACTTACCAATATATAATAATTCATACTGAATTTTGAGAGAATGGACAGTAAAGAATATTGGTTTTATCTATGGAAAATATGGGCCTAAAATGTATTAGCACCAGTAATTATTAAAATAAACTAATCTTGCTGACGAGACCATTTACCATAGAGTATTAAAATATTTTTATAGACTATAAGTGAACAAATAATACTTAATTTTCAAGTTTAATGTTTGTGAAAACTTTGGCACTGTGACATTGTTCTGTCAATAAAAAAAACTGCTATTTTCTCTTTACATTTCTATCTATATATTGTATTTAAACAATACCAACTTTAATTATAAAAAAAAATACGATGTACCAATGTTTTCGCGCTTAATTTGTACTGTATCAGAAATAATATTATTATAAATAGGTAAGTGTTATAGTGTTTCAAACCATAATTATTCACATTTTAAACGTGAATCTTCTATTTCTATGTATTCATTTTGATTCATGTAGAACAGTTTGCAGTCTCCTACAAAAAAAGCTGTGAATATTTGCGCACCTGGCACTAATATAATTATATTTTGGTAATATAATAACAGCTCGAAAAAGTCTAATTTTAAAATAGTCATGAAGTTGGCACATTCTTTTATATTAAATAATTTTTATAAAATAAATTTCTAATATATATTTCAGATCAGTTTTTAATCGTAATCGTATTAAAAAGAATATACTTAGTCTATGGACATAGATACTGTATTAAAATGTAATTATTTAGGAACTGAAATGTGCTCAAATATTCACGCTTCGAAGTTACATAAACAAGTAAACATCCATAGCAAGAAGTTTATAATGAAATGATTTCATTCCCATCATCACTGATGAGGCAATTTCCAGATTGTTGTTTGGCAAAATCAATTCTGTATTAATCATTTACTTATAACCTTCTTGGTATATGCGTGTCGTGCCATATTGTAATAAAAGAATTTTGCTATCACATAATGAAAAATTTTATTAACCCTTCGAATGTTTTACTCTTAAACCGTCTGTGCCCGCAAAACCGTGACTTCTTTCTAACCAATTTCATCCTTATTTAAAACAAAATAAGATTGAAACGCAATTAAAAAAATACAGCTGGCACGAGCGTACCGGATGACCGGACCTCTTGATTTTTGATCGCTGCGATACACGACGGACATTCAAAAGGTTAAACTGGGCTAAAAGCTACACGTCAATAAATAATCCACATATCCTGGTATTTAACGTCAGACAGACAGACGCATTGGCAAATCTCCGTAAGTTCAATCCAATCATATAGATAATAATTATTTTACGTGTAGCCTTTAGTTACACAAAATGAGCATAATTTCGTAATATTCATTTGACTATTGTATTATTCATAAGAAATATATTAAAAATCGAATTAAGCTGTCGCACTGTCTTTCAATTAAAAGTAATAGTTAATAATAATAATTTCTCAATTAGTTTCCATGAAAAGACTTGTGATTACGGCACGGACACGCACGTGGGCGGGACCTGTAGGGCCCGAGTTCAAGATGGCAGCTTACTTGTGCTCCTGATGGTGCTGGTGGTGCTGATGCGGCGGTGGGTAGTGAGGCGGTGGTGGCCCGTAGTACTGAAGTGACTGGAGTGAAGCACCGTACTCCATACCCTCCTCGTATCCGACGTAGCCGATGCCGCCCATCATTCCCATCATTGCTGTGGAAAGATTTTATTTACGTACAATTAGGAAAAATTATGGTATTTACTTTCAATTTTAGGTATTTTTTTATCTGATTTAGTAATCTGTACGTGCTAGTGTCATTATTTATATTGTTAATTGGATCTCAACACGAATTTTATTGTAAATAAAGGTATTTACCTCTCTCGACGTAAAAGAAAACTTCAAAATAAGTATTGCATTCTAGATAGATAAAAAAAAATATCACAACACACAAATAGAATAGAAAATCATTTATTCAAATAAACTTAATTTAAGCACCTTTGAATAGTCCTTTTGAATTTCTACCACTCGTTCGGAAAGCTGTCTCAGCACAAGAAGAACGAGCAAGAAACTTGTGTGTTGCTCTTTTAAATATTCCTTGCAAGTTTACATTTACAAGTCGAAACGTGTGAATACAAACTACCAACAAGCACTAATTTTTTGGGTCAAATATAAATATGCAATAAGATTAAATCAGTCGTAGTGATAAGAGCAGACTAGTTCCTACAAGCAGCACTCGTTCACGAGTATGACGGATGAGCCAGCCATCACTGCGCTCGACCATATTTTAAAAAAGCCCAATGACCCGGCCCACCACGCCATATAGTATTTCTTTATCTAACTGATACACTAATCTATGCCTATTGGCATTATGAATTTTATGGTAAATACCTCTTAACATAAAAAAAAACTAGTTCTAGTGGCAATCGAGACTTACATGGGTCGGAGTCGACGGGGTAGTAAGGGATGGGGTAGATCGGCGGCGGGTAGGGGATGTACGGCAGCGACACCATGCCGCCCTCCACAACGCACTCAGGGGGCTCGCCGTATGCTCCCACACCTCCGGTCACGCCCACGCCGCGGACGTCCACGTGCGAGTTACGCCTGGGGACAGACAAATAACCATCTTATTTTCATGTATATGACTCATTTGAATTGTTTTGTTCAATTAAACAGACATTTCCTGATCTTTCTTCTGCGCCCATGGGCGGGAACTCGAGTGGGATAGTTGCATCTAGGCCCAGGCTCCCCCCCCCCTACCCCCCTGGAATTAGTCTCCTTCAGCGGGAATATCAGGATTGGAATGTATTTTACGCTAGTTAACATTATATACCTGGAAGTTTGAATGTGCATCGATTGATGTTTGTTACTCCTTAAAACTTCTTTCACGGAAACTACTAAACGGATGTAGATGAAACTTCACAATAATATAGCTCATACATCAGAATGACAATATAGAACAAGTTTATCTCAAAGAAAAATTTCGAGGAACATAAGTGGCGAAAAATCTTACTAAAATTATAAATGCCAAAGTTTGGTACAGATCTTTGTTACTCTTTCACGCAAAAACTACTGAACGGATTTTAATGAAACTTTACAATAACATGGTTTATACATTAGAATAAAACATATATAAATTTCACGCGGGTGTAATCACGGGTAGAACTAGTTAAATTATAATTCATGAATATTATAAGAACTAATTTGTACCCATGAAATAAAACTAGAAATAATCTTTATTCAAATAAACTTAATATAAGCACTTTTGAATAGTCATATTTTTTTATACTACCACTCAAACATGCTGTTCCTAAGTAGCATTTAGAAAATATCAATGGGTTTTTTATGGGAATGGCTATAAACATTTATAACAAGATACCAATAGATATACTGGAATTGCCTTTAAATAAAATCAAAATGTCTGTTAAATAATATTTATTGAGCACTAGCTACTCGCCCCGGCTTTGCACCAGTGTACATGTATTATATAGTTATAAACCTTCCTCTAGAATCACTCTATCTATTAAAAAAACTGCTTCAAAATTAGTTTGCGTAGTTTTAAAGATTTAAGCATACATAGGGACGGATAGACAGCGACTTTGTTTTATACTATGTAATGATGAAGCTTACTACACCTCTACTTAAACGACGAACATGCATGGCAATAATAGTTCAAGCATGGGATTTTCATTTAATATTAGACCTACATACATTTTATATTTTTAGGTTTAGGTTTGTTATGTACTAAAGTGGGTAATTTATGAAACAGTAGTCTATGGATATCTATCTAGCCAATGTGATTTATGTTGTAGTGAGTATACAATAAAGTTATTTAATAAATATAAATAAATATGACAATATACAATTTTTTTTAGAGTTTTTAAATATTTTTAATTTAAAGTTTTTAAAAATATACCCTTAAAGGTATAAAAAAAAATATAGGGAATGAAAGTATTCAAACTTTTTTCTTGATGATTTCTCGATGAAACTTTTTTCTTTGGCTTTTTTGGGTTACATTATTAAATTTTTTTCTTTATTTGGTCAAGATTCCACGCGGACTAAGTCACGGGCACATCTAGTCGTAGTATAAAAAATCCGACGCCATGAATACAGTTGTGGTAAGAACGATTACACTTTTTTCTATAGGTTTTGGGGTCAGATTTTTAAATTATTTTCTTTATTTGGTCAAGCTCAGTATTCCACACGGACAAAGTCGCGGTGCACAGCTAGCATCAGTCATTAAGACCGTCGAGCGTGGTAATAGTGTAGTATAAATGTTTACTCACCGATTGTTAGGCCCTTTATTTGGCCAGGCTCAGTATTCCACACGGACAAAGTCGCGGTGCACAGCTAGCATCAGTCATTAAGACCGCCGAGCGTGGTAATAGTGTAGTATAAATGTTTACTCACCGATTGTTAGGCCCTTTATTTGGCCAGGCTCAGTATTCCACGCGGACAAAGTCGCGGTGCACAGCTAGCATCAGTCATTACGACCGCCGTGCGTGGTAATAGTGTGGTATAAATGTTTACTCACCGATTGTTAGGCCCTTTATTGCCCATATTGTTGTTGTGGCCTTTATTGGGATTGTGGTTGGTGGTCTGGCTGCCGTCTGGATTGTTCCCACCACGTTTGAATCTGTGCAAGAAAACAGCAATATTTTCACTTCGCTTGAATTGTTTTTTCTTTATTTTAATTTAAAACCTTGGACAATTAACACAGCGCCATCTAGTCCCATGATAAGCAGAGCTTGTGTTATGTACTAGACAACTGATATATATACATCGATTTTTTTTAATTTATAAATACATAATAAACACCCAGACCGATACAAACAATCATACCCATGAATACAAATTTTTGTACCGTGCGAGGAATCGAACTCGCGACCCTCGAAAATAAAGCGGTGTACTTAACCACTAGACCATCGAGGCCGTCAATTAATGGAATGGTGCACCCGCCTGCGCTAACGGATTACGCAGGCGGGTGCACTATTGGAGGATGATAAGATAAGCATGCGGTTAGGTCAGTGAGCCCATGGCATATTCCCCATGTTTTCTACGATGCCGACCACCAATCACCATGGTTTCCAGAGGAAACCACGTGGAAGTCAACCTGACACGGTACATTGTTAGCGATGGGGTTATTAGTCCACAACTGACTCCGCTTCACCCCGACTTAGATTGGTCAGATTTGCTTAGGTCGGGGCTGCGGATTGTTTGACGAAAGTTAATAATTTATTTCATGGAAATTGCGTATGGTTTTACAACAAATTGAAAACCAAAGAGTAAAATTATAGCTTGATATTCATAGCGCTGTCAATATTGTCTGATTGCACAAAGATTAGGTAACGGTTTCGATGTTGATTGTCGCATGCCTCCAACTTGTTAATGTGTATTTACTTTATTACAACATTCATTGAAAAGAGCAACACGCAAGTGTCTATCTCATTGTTGTTGAGATGAGTCTACATTCCGAATGAAGAAAGAAAAAAAAATATGACTATTCAACAGTGCTTATACTCAATACCGTCTACCATAAACGGGGCCCGTGCCCAGGGCCCTGACAATGAAGGACTGACAATTTTTCTCACACATTTTTGTCGGGCACACTACACTTTTCTCCGTACCGAATCCGAAATCCGAAATCCGTTCTTTCTGCTACACGCCAGAAACTAAAATAGATGGTATTTTAGTACTGATCATCTCCACCGTGCGTTCAGAAACTTTGCCATATAACCACATAGTGGAATCATCTTCCAGCGATAGTATTTCCGAAGCGATACCTTTAAGAAGAGTTTATTCCTTCTTAAAAAGCCCATAACGTACTTGCAATTCTCTTGGTGTTGCGGGTGCTCATGGGGCGGCGGTAATAATAATATTACAGGACAATTCACACAGCGCCATCTAGTCCCAAGCTAAGCTATTTTATGGTTACTAGACAAGTACTTTTTTTTAATACAAACTTAATATACATAGAAAACACCCACACGGATACAAACAATCGTACTCGTGAATACAAAATGTTTGTACCGAGCGAGGAATCGATCCAGCACACAGCTTTGCAGCAAAGCTAAACCGCTGGACCACCGAGGTCGTCATAGTAATTACTTACCATGTGCTCGTTTCGTCGCTCCTACTAGCTACTCGCCCCGGCTTCGCCCGGGTGTACATGTATCATATATATACCTACCTCTTGGATACCTTTATTTATTTATTAAAACCGTTGTGTAGTTTTAAAGATTTAAACATAAATAGGGACGGACAGACAGCAACAGCGACTTTTTTATGCTATGTAATGCTATAAAAAATAAAAGTATACCTGGGTCCGAGCAGAGGCCGTTGTCCATTCCCCTTGCCCTGGTTGTTCACCTGCGGCTTGTCATTGCTATTCGGCTTGTGCTTCTGATTATGCTCGTTGCCATTATGGTTGGCGCGGTCGTGTAACGACATCTGCTGCATATCCTGCATATAGCAATATCAGAATATAACTGGGGGGATTGGAGATTTTCAGTAATATGGACTAATGATCTCATTATGACACTGCTGTCCTTACTAGGCCATTATGAAAGACATCCAGATACATTCCCTATGTGAAAATGTAGTTTCATTATGTGAAAATAATAATATATTCTTTATTCCACTTATATCATCATCTGCTTCTTCCTTATCCCATTTATTTGGGGTCGGCGTAATATGTTTTTCTCTTCCATTCATCTCTGTTCGCAGTCATTCCGTTATTTACTCCCTTTCTCACCATATCATCTTTCACACAGTCCATCCATCTCTTTTTCGGTCTTCCTCTACCCTTATAACCATCCACATTCATATGTAACACCGTCCTTAGGATATGATCTTCATTCCTACGCATTACATGCCCATACCACGATAGACGATTACTCTTTAACCTCTCTGACATCGGTGCCACTTTCATACTTCCTCTGATTTATTCCACTTATATATATAATAAAAAACATATTTATAAAAAAATTAGAGCAAGGAATAATATGGAATATGGAAGGGCAATAATATGGAATAAGGAAGAAGCAGATGATGAAAAGGATAGAAAATATGTGGTGAACGGTGATTTTGTGAGGAAACTGTATTTGAATAAACATTTCTATTTGTAAATACCTGTGCAATATCACGCGGTGAGTATTGGTGCATGATGTGCGGTGGAGGAGGTGGCCCGTACAGCGACCACATGCAGTCCACGCCCAGGTTGAAATAGTACCGCAGAGTTGCTATATCTGTAAAAAAAAAGTAAAAAAAAGGATAATACAGCGCCATCTAGTCTCGAGCTAAGCAGAACTTGTGTTATGAGTATTAGACAACTGATATTAATACATACATTTGTTTATATTTAATAGAATTAGGTGTTAATTTGCTGAAGTTCATTTCACTACTTAATGGATTTATGCTATTTTGTTTAATTCCGCTACAATTAGTATAATATTAGTATAGTTAATATAGTAAATTTGACATAGATATATATAGATAGATATATATAAAGCTTTATTTTTTTCAAAATTTTACATTATTTATAATACTATCCTGCAAAACTCTTGTTGGGGTTTGTCTGCAGGCATACAGTTCTCTTATCCACTTCCTTAATAGGTACATGTTTATATATATTATTTTAGATAGTATTTTAACGTACACATAAAATACAGTATTCCGTTTTACAATATTTATGTATTTAGTTACTGTATTTTTTTTAAAAGGTAATTATTCTAAGTCGTATGATATGTTTTCTTAATTGTAAGCACAAATTTTGTTATATAAATGTCGTAGTTGCCTATAATTAAGGTTGCGCTTAGTATAATAACTACTGTTAACGCCTGCATGTTTGTTAAAGGCAATACTCATATTATTCGTAGCAGACAGTAGCTACTTTTTTTTTGGTTCGGTTTTTCCCTTTATAGGGAAAGGCAAAAGGACTCAGCCCATACAGCCATTGTCTTCAGTAATATTTTCTTATATATTTTTTTTTATTGCAACCGTCATAAATTTTTTTATCATATTCTCTGTGACTTAAGTGAAGTAACATTCTTTATATCTCGCCAAGAAATATTATTGTAAAAAAGGAAATATACGTTCTAGTCAAGATAATTAATTTTATTTATATCAAGAAATACAAAATCTAATAATTTCATTCTAATAAATTTTAATAATAATGTATTATATATAATGTAATTGTGTTGGTGTACCTTGTTGGTGACCTAATAAATAAATTGTTACTATTAAATTAGGGAAACTTATTTTATATTAAGTTTCTATGTTATAGGTATTATGAGCGTGTCGCTTACCGTTCATGGGCAGGTCAGCGCCGTTGGCGAGTATACTCTTGTGCACGTGGGGGCTGATGCCGGGCGGGGGGGGAGGCACGTGGGGCGGCAGCGGAGGCACGGGCGGCGCCAGCAGCGGCGCGTGCATGGCAGCGTGGGCGTGCGGGCCCAGCCCCGGGGCGCCGGGCCCGGCCGGCCCGCCGGGGCCCCCGGGGCCCGCGGGGCCCACGTGCGCGTGCGGCGGCGGCGAGTGCGGCCCGCACCACACCACGGACTTGACGCCGCACGCGTACGGCCCGCATGCGGGGCCATACGCCGCACCGTTGCCAGCGTTACCTGTTTTTAATCATTACATAGTATAAAATAATTCGCAGCCGCTGTTTATCCCTATGTATGCTTAAATCTTTAAAACTACGTATGGGACACAGTCACCTAGATACATCAGATTAATAATTGCATTTAATAATGTCTAGTAAGACAAATTCAATATTGTCTACTAAGCACTGCTGTGTCTAAACTGTGTCACCCCACCTTTTTCTACACACAACATTTTGCTATTGTTATTTAGTATATAGGATCATTATTTCTATGTACATATTGTCAGTTTATCATCATCTGTAATATACATCGTCTCGACCAACAACATCGTATAATTCACCCGCAACACTACGCAACGGATTTTGAACCGGTTTTTTTAAATAGAGTGATTCTAGAGGAAGGGTTATTTATATAACTAGCTGTACCCGCGACTTTGTCTGCGTTGCATTGAATTTTATTTTTCTAAAATAAAAATAACCTGCATTACCTCTTATTACATCAGGTACCTGCCAATATAGGTCCAAACATTTCAGAGATTAGCCGGAATATATTCGTATACCGTATTTATATTCATAACCATGTAGTAAGAAATGGTTATTTCAATATTACAAACTGACACTGCAATTTTATTTATATGTATAGATAATACATGTACTCCAGTGCGAAGCCGGGGCGAGTAACTAGTACTCAATAAGAAGCAGGACGTCGACTAGGTACGGACCGGAAGTAATCTAACATTGAAATATAGTCGAGCGCAGCGATGGCTGACTCATACTAGAATAGAAAATCGTTTATTCAAATAAACTTAATTTAAGCACTCTTGAATAGTCATAACAATTTTTTTTTAAATCTACCGCTCGTTCGGAAATCTGTCTCACCACAAGAAAAACGAGCAAGAAACTTGCGTGTTGCTCTTTTAATCCTTGTAACTTTGCATTCCAATTAGAAACCTACGAATACAAACCACCAACTAGGGGCTGTTCAAGTATTACGTAAGCAGATTTATCACAATTATTTACCCCCCATCCCCCTTGTCAGCAAAAGTAAGCAAAGCTCTTACCCCCTCCCCCCATGCTTACGTAAACATTTCTCAATTAATGTATTGTTTTTTTAGCAAAGACAATGTGAGGGTTGCCATTCGGGTAAAAAAATTAAATTACGACCGATGACGTAATCATCATACAGACTCCCCCACCCCTATGTCATCCAAAATAAGCAAAGAAAAGACCCCCCGCCCCCCTATAGTGCTTACGTAATACTTGAACGGCCCCCTAGCACTAATTTATTAGAGTCAGATATTAAGTACACAATAAGATTAAAACAGTCGTAGTGATTACAGACCATTGCCTACATATTACTTTTAATTTATTATCTATGGTTACCTGCAAACGTGGTGGTAGTGGTAGCTGGGGTGGAGGCGCGCGCCGCTTGGGAAGTCACTCCGTGGCCAGCCATTTCGCCACTCGTAGACGACTGTTAAAAAAAAGTACATTTTAAACTGACCACGACTCTTCGCAATTTGTATTATTGACCGATACAAGGTCTAGGTATTTCATGAGTATGTTTGTATCGGTGTAGGTATTTAGCCATTTACTAGCTGTTCCCGCGACTTCGTCCGCGTGGAATTTAACTTTATTTTTCTAAAATAAAAAGTAGCCTAAGTTACTCCTTATTTCATCAGCTACCTGCCAATAAAAGTCCCGTCAAAATCGGTCCAGCCGTTTCAGAGATTAGCCGAAACAAACAGACAGACAGACAAAAATTGTAATAAATATTATGGTGTATACACTGTGATTATATTCATATGCATGTAGTAAAAAACGGTTATTTCAATATTACAAACAGACACTCCAATTTTATTCCTATGTATAGATTAAAAAAATAATATTTAAGCGTATATATCAGTTATCTAATACCTATATCAAATCTAAATATCTTTAGGAAGGTAAGTCTATTACAGACTTACCGTCCATCAGTTCTGAATGACGAGAAGAACTGACAAGAAACTCAGCTCGTATACTTTTCAAACATTGTTAACAATAACACACGATTTAACTTGGGACTAGATGGCGTTGTGCAAATTGTTTTTAATATACGATATATTTTTATGGTAAAAAATGTGATTTTACCATAAAAACACCATTCATACAATACATACCATGTTGGCGACCGACCGCTGAACTCTTTTGATATTTTTATTATTTTTGAAGAGTTCTTTTTTATGTCATGTTATTTGATATACTTCAATTTATTTTATTATTCTATCATTGTCTTTCGTATAGTTCGCAATTGCACATATTAATATATTATATTATTGCAAACTACGTGTTTTCATCATTTAGACACCCATACAGTCCACCGATCCGTTATATACCATTTTTAATACACCTGTTTTTAATAGGCTGTTTATATGGTAAAAAAAGTGGTTTTTGTCAGATCTACCATTCAATAATCATCCATAAAAAAAACAATGACAGTACCTGCGCTGGCTGCGCGTGGTGACCTTCAGAAGGCGCCCCGTTGGCGATCTCGTGGGCGGCAGCGCCCGCCGGCCGGCAGTCCACCATCAGGGGCAGTGCTTGTACTTCAACCTGCAATACACCTTCAGCTTAGTCACCAGTATACAATATCACTCGGGATCGAATCGAAACCGCTTCGAATGGACGACCAATGCAACCGTCTACTAAACTACCAATAGCATCAGAACAAATAATTTTATATATAAAAATTTCGATGTATCAAGTTATTTGTTCTTGAATGACTTGTACCTGTATTCAAATATTTTATTTAGTTTCCTATGACATTTAGTTTTTTTTCTTTGAAATGCTGTTTAAATGCATTTTGTTGATTTTACATTTTGTCCCATAAAGTTAGAGAACTTATATCGTCGATTACTTAGAAAAATGACAATTTTCAAAATTAGAATCTAGAATTGGATCCTTTTATCAATCAATCAAGACGGCGTGGTTAATTTAATTGACTAATATAAAAGGAGGCAAATAGCTTCTATCTTTGAAAAATATAATTTTTCTAATTAATCGACGATATGTATATTAAAGTATATTATAATTAAATTTCGATTCGATCCTGTTTTTAAGTATATTTAAGTATTATAAGCGATGTACTAGCTAGACTAATGACATAACTGACAGGTACATATAGTTTGATGTTTTTTTAATTTTATACAAGTATACATAAGTATATTCAATTAAGAATTAACACCAACATTTAATGAGATAAATAATCAATTAGACTACAATTTTAAAATTACATTGAATGTATATTTCGTGACAGCTTCAGTAATTGCCAAGATTCCCAATTATTAAAACAAATGTATTTTTAATTTTGCTCAAATTATGTTTACCTTTATAACATACATTAATTATATAAATTACTAGCTGTACCCGCGACTTCGTCCGCGTGGAATTTAACTTTAATTTTCTAAAATAAATGTAGCCTAAGTTACTCCTCACTACATCAGCTACCTGCCAAAAAAAGTCCCGTCAAAATCGGTCCAGCCATTTTAGAGATTAGCCGGAACAAACAGACAGACAAAAATTGTAAAAAATGTTAATTTAGTGTATGTACCGTATTTATATTCATATGCATCTAGTAAAAAAAGGTTATTTCAATATTACAAACAAACACTCCAATTTTATGTAATGGTATAGATTAAAAATGCTGCTTTTGATTTTAAGGAAATTAATGAGTTATAAAAAAACTAGTATCATTTTAAAACCATTCAATAAAAATAACAAAATTGCAAGTTCAAAACTAGATCTATAGGAATTTGAAAATTGAAGAACAATCGGTTAAAAATTTTAATTATTTTTTTCTAGTCCTACACTACTATTGAGGTAAATTATTATATATATATATTCAAATTATGCCTGTCAGTATGTACATAGTTACTTCTACACTAATACTAAAAGTACTACTTGCTTATCAAACTAAAAAACTATGTAAAGCAACTACAAATAACTATAAATTACATATTACAATTAAATTTTATTTAACCATTATGAAACCCTATTGCTAACAATGTCAGACTGACCTCCACGCGGTTCCCCCTGGTAACCATCGTGATAAATTGACAATTTCCAGGATGGGTTATCTGACCTGACCTCATGCTCATCTTATCATCCTCCACTGGTGCCCCGCCAGCGTAAACCGTTAGCGCAGGCGGGTGCACCATTACATTATCATCAATAAAACATATATGTATATTTTTCTTTTGAATAGTCATATGGTATTTTTTATCGCTCATTTGAAAAGCTGACTCATCACAAGAAGAACCAGCAAGAAACTACACAAGTTCCTTGCTGGTCACTCTATTAAATAAGTTTTCAGTATTTCATATTTGGGTGGATGCGGATGGCGGAAGAGCGCACATGGTGGAAGTCTTTGGGAAAGGCCTATATCCAACAGTGGATATACACAGGCTGATGATGATGATGATTACATATTTAACACTGTCTGTGAATACAGACTGCCAAATAGCAAGATTGATAAAACAATTCTTAATATACATAATTAGCTGTCCCGCGACTTCGATCGCCTGTAATATAACTTTATTTTTCTAAAATAAAATTAGCCTAAGATACTCCTTATTACATCAGCTACCTGCCAAAAAAAAGTCCGGTCAAAATTGGTCCAGCCATTTCAGAGATTATCCGGAACAAACAGACAAACAGACAGACAGATAAAAATTGTAAAAAAGGTTATTTTGGTGTAGGTACCGTATTTATATTCATATATGCATGTAGTAAAAAACGGTTATTTCAATCAGACAGACACTCCAATTTTATTTATATGTATAGATAGCAAAAATCATTTTAAATTTGTACTTAGACAAGAAACAATTATAAATATGTTACATAATAAAAAAAAATACTAAATTATATATCTACTTGGTAAATTAACGAAAACTGCACAATATAATTTTTAAAACAAAGGAACGGCTAAACCAGGTATGTTATGGATATGAAATTTCGGATACGGATATGTTTCGGATATAGTAAAGATTACTATACCGAATACGGATATGAAATTATTTCGGATTATCCGTCAGTTTCCGATAACTTCAGTTCTGATATTATTTTTTTAAGGAATTTCAAAAGTAAAATACAAACAGCTAATAAAACGGTTACATAACGCGTCTCAATTAGGCTCCGGCCCTACCCGATATTATCAGAAAATTTTATTTCGGATTCGGTTACGAAGATCCCTAACATCCCTGGCCCAAACTACAGTACTGTACTGGTAATATAGCTACGATATGGTACATTTCAACACCCTCTCGTTCCTAATCACCTTACTTTATGTTAGTGGTTAAAAAAACAATTAATAGTAAAATTACAAGTGGTAAAACAACTCGAGTGGTCTCGAGATTGAGAATTTGTTTATTTAAAACTAAGTGTGGGGTAACAAATAACATATCACAAGCACCGTGTCAGGTTGACCTCACACGGTACCCTGGAAACCATCGTGATAAATTCCTGATGAATTTGTCACGATGGGCTAACTCATGTTCATCTTATAATCCATAATGGTGGGCACCAATGTGGATGATAAGATGAATCAGATCAGATGAGGGCAGATAGGATCGCCAGCGTAAACCGTTAGCGCAGGTAGAACTACCATTCCATTATCATCAATTAAAAAAAACTCCCTAAAAAGTTCGCGGACTTTTTTTTAGAAAGCACCATTATCATCAATTAAAAAAAACCCTAAAAAGTTATACATACGTTGTCGCGAACTATTTTTTAGAACTTTTAAAGAAGAACAATTCTGTCATACATATTTTTTGCGTAACTAACTGTTTACGCAGCGCACGAAAATAATTTTTTTTTTATACATTTTTCATTGCTACCCCGCTCCTATTGGTTGTAGCGTGATGTTATCTATCCTATACCAATATACCTCTTTCTAAGAGTGAAAAAATATTAAAAATCGGATCAGCAGCCCGGAGATCACTCAGAACAAACGTACAAACTTTACCTCTTTATAATATTAGTACAGACGTATTTACAAAAAAAATGTATCTAAGTATCCTATAGCAATTGTAGATAACATACCTTTCTAAGAATGAAAGAATTTTTAAAATCGTATCAGCAGCCCAGAGAACACTCCGAACAAACAAACGTACAAACTTTAGCTCTTTATAATATTAATACAGATGTATTTATAAAAAAAATGTATCTAAGTAGTATCAGTTGTCTAGTACCCATAACACAAGCTCTGCTCGACTTGTATTAAACCGTACCGGATTCTACCTTTTTTTTCAGACTACTCTAATGCAGTTGCAGCTGGCCTTTACAGCTTCACCGGACGTTAGGGGGCGAGTGCAGATGAAAGGACAGACTCCAAACCCGCGGAAGGACTTATGGAGCGGCTGAAGGCCAGCTCCCGCCTGACGATAGGGGGCGAGTGCAGATGGCCCTCCGAACCCAGGGAAGGAGTTATGGAGCGGCTGAAGGAACTCCCGACTGACGGTTACGAATTTAATCTGAGGGTTAGACCGCTAGAGGTTCGAACCTCGGCTCAGGCTGAGTATTAAGATTTTTAAGTTTTATCGAATATTCTAGAAAAACAAATTCGCAGAAATCATCTTGATACGTATAAGAAATATCTACCCTCAAGTGTTATTTAATAATTACAACATTTTTGTTTACTTTGTTCCACGATTTAGCTTATCAGCCAGTCAACCCATCTGCGGTGTCATTATATTGACGGCCACGGTGGATTACCGGTTGAGCACATCGCCTTACATCCGATGGTCGCGGGTTCGATTCCTCGCACAGCACAAACATTTGTATTCACCAGTATGATTATATGTCTCATGAGTTATTTACGACAAAATAATATCTATGTATTTGTAACAGTTGTCTAGTACCCATAACACAATCTTTAGCTAGCTTAACTTGGGTATAGATGGCGCTGCGTGAATTGACCTAAGATTATTATTATTACTACCGGACCAGTATGACTTCGTCGGGATCTTACTCAATTTACATTATATATTTTAAAATTATAGCCTATATGTTATTCTGATGTATAAGCTATATTACTGTAAAGTTTTATCAAAATCCGTTCAGTAGTTTTTGCGTGAAAGAGTAAAATCCATCCATACTCACAAACTTTCGCGTTATAGCGTATAAATAATATTACTAAATACCAGTTGAGTCGTAGATATTGCTTATAACATATTTTAAACCATCTAAATAAGCTTAGGAATGAAAGCTTCATTACAATACTACTAAACTAAAAGTTAACTAACAGGCATTGGTTCAAAGTTAACGTAATCCAAATGTTGATATGTTGGGAAGTGAATCTCATCAGTCTTAAACGCCATTGGAAGCCCTTCTGAACCATTCTCCTCTCTCCACGACTCTTTATTGTCCAGTTTTATTGCTTTCTCTAGTGTTTTTGCCTCTTCCTTCTTTTTTTGTACCTTCAATCCTTGTTTTCGAGTGACGCTGCCTGAATGTTATTAGAATGAAATGTGAGAGTTTTTTATCGTTAATTACGTGCATGAGTTAAGTGCATTGTGTGTATAAAAGTTGCAACTCAGTTGAAAGTCCAGTCGTGTAGGTACGGATAAACAATTAGGGTTGCCACAAGACACAAGTTTTCAATAATAGAATAAAGTATTCTATTATTTTATAGAAACCAGACAATTATTGAGTGTTTTAATATAATGCAATTTGGCTTTTGTTGTAGAAGTTAATGTTATTTTATATGTATATCTGATAATGTATGTAAATTACTAAACAAACAAAAATGTTTAAGAACATAATAAATTCATAATATATATATAATATTTATAAAATAGCTAACCCTGCGGACTCCGTTCCGCCTTAAAATTAAATATGTGAAATGTCGCTTGAAGTTTACATACGCAATAAATTTCTGAACGCACCCTGTCTGACAGGTATCAGCAGTTTGTATGGGAAAATATAATAGTTCCTCTTACTAGATGCAATTTCTTAATATTTTATCAACGTTTTATCCTTCCCTGGACTTCCCGAATATTTCAAGATAAAAATTTGCCAAATCGGTTCAGCCGTTGTCGACTTTTAGCGAGACTAACGAACAGCAATTCATTTTTATATATATAGATAGTTTAGTCATATGTCCTTTCGGATATTTCTATTACTATATAGAACAAATATTTACTCTTAATACAATAATTACATTATATTAAATGTTTTTCTTTCTTTTTCTTTTCTTTCTATATTAACTTTTATTAAATACTCAAATATGTAATATAGATAAAATAGGAAACAAAGGAATCAAAATATATAATAATAATAATAATCTCAGGACAATTCACACAGCGCCATCTAGACCCAAGTTAAGCTAACTAAAGCTTGTGTTATGGATACTAGACAACTGATACATATATACATAGATATTTTTTTTTGTAAATACATACATATTATACATAGAAAACACCCAGACCGATACAAACAATCATACTCATGAATACAACTGTTTGTGCCGTGCGAGGAATCGAACCAGCGACCATCGGTCGTAAAGCGGTGTACTAGACCACCGAGGTCGTCAAAAATAAGAATTAAAGTAACAATATGAGATAATTATTACTAAAAAAAAAGTGTATTTCCTTCAAAGAACGGAATAAATACTTCAAGAATTGAAGTGTAGAGAAATCTTTTTCAAGTTTGTGACAGCCCTGATAAAGTGCTTAATAGAAGCTCAAACAGATAGACAAAACAATCCGTTATAAGTATATCCAATAATAAATTAATATATGTAGGTAATGCACTGAACTCCTGCACTCAGAACTAATGAAAACAACATCACACCTATCTGCTGCAACATTTGAGTAAGCGTCAGGAACTGAGAGTTCGTTCGAGAGTATCTGTACGGAGGTGCCCAAGGCCTGACCTCCTCCTGCGGCAGGGGCTCCAGCTGGTCGTAATTGACCACACGCTTCTCCCCCAAGTCCTCAATAAAGACCAGACAGGGGCCCCCGTCTGGCCGCATCTCCTGTATGTGACAATGATAGGCCACCGTTTGTTCGGGTAGTTTACACAAACATTTGACTCCTACTTGCAAAGTTGTGCCATCCGAGTATCTAATCCCGAAACGCATCTCTGCAAAACCACATAACCCATTGTGAAAAAATAAGGGACAAGTATGTAATTAATTTAATCCAATTGGTGACTACCTTTCCGCAGTTCGCTCCACACATCAAATTCTATATTCCGATATATATCTGGATCTAGTGCTTTAGCCACTTTGTATGGGAACGGTGTAATACCGTTGTCAATTAAATCTTTAGCGCTGTTCACATTCAAGCAATTCATACATACATTTTCTAGTTGTATCAGACTACGATTGAACACGAAAATACTGAGAGATTCCTTGAGAAGGCTAGCCCTTTCTAAGTCTTCAGTGTGGTGTTTACATTTGAGGGCAACTGCATTATTGTTTCTATCCTTGTCATCACTATTTGGAGCATCTATGAAGATCTTAGCTCTCTCTTTCTGTCTCTTACGCCGTTCTACATTCTCGGCCATGAAGTATTCAATATGGTTTGTAGCTATTTTATCATGTAGCATTTTATCAACGGCATAAGGCAACTCTTTGAGCTGGTAAACACCTTCGTAAAGAATTTCGTATACCAAAGCTATAATTGGATGTGACAAATATTAAATTTAAATTTTAGAAATACCCTCAAAAGACTATAAAAAAAATGGATAAATTACTTTAAATATAAAATAGAAAAGAATGTATATGAAAAAATAAAGATGTATCCACAAATATCAACTTATAATATTATGATGAGCAAAGCCTATTACTCACTAAACAATTATTTAAATGACGAATGTGCATGGCAATAGTTGTTCATGCACGGGATTTTCATTTAATGTTAGACATAGACACCTATATAAAAATACATTGTAAATAAACAGGCTTTTAAAAAAAAGTAATTCAATTGAGTTTCTTGCCAGTTCTTCTCAATTAGATCTATATACTGAACTGGATGGTAGGGAAAAAATTATAATGTAAAAAATTTGATATTCATAAGCGGCTAAAATGTGCTACATGAATAAATTCCTTTTTAACATTAATATTAGCCATAATTATCATTAATGACACTCATTATTGATGGCATTTCATTAATTATCATAACTTCATTATATTGACATGTTAAATGACCCAATGATGGCATTTCATTAATTATCATAATTATAATGACATGTTAAATAACCCAAAATAAACTTACACTGACAAAATGATGATGCATTTATGAATTCTTTTGTGTACACAGCATCATAGTGTTTGGTCTCAGTGGAGCGAAACAAATAAATAGTCTTTTCATAACCATTTGATATTTTGGTTTGTGGACCTTTGTTCGCTTCAAATATAACAAAATCATGGCTGGAATATAATTCCAAATACTTTATATCACAGATGTTAATACAAATAAAAAAAAAATAACTTGAACCAAAATGTGTATCCTGATTTAATTTTTTTTATACTTTGTGATGATGAAATGTTACGAGAGAGAAAACATAATTACAATTTTATATACTAACAAATGATTCTATATTTTATAAATTTATTATTAACTGATATTGTAATAATGGTATTTCTGTAAAATTATATAGTATTTTCACAATTCTTGAAAAAAAAAATTGTGATTTTGTCATATAATGTTAGTATTTAAGCTTACTTAAGCAATGATCCTTACCTATACAATTGACTCATTGCTGAAATTTCAACAAGTCCACCCCATTCTGATGGATTTGCCATCTCTTTGAGATAATTTTCAAATGGACAATCCAATGACTACAAAATAAAATATACAAGTTATGTATTAACAATATGCTGAGATTAAACCATTCTACTGACCATAAACAAAAATTAATCCTACCCCTTCAAACAGTTCTCTCCTAGTGGCCATGAATTTAACACACTCCATTCGTACTTTGTGATAATACTTCTGCGTGTTATAGATGTTCTCGGAAACGGCCCTAAACAGGCAGCTGGAGTCCCTAGCCGTGTGTTTCCTATAGAAACCCATCTCATCGAGCCATCTATCCGGTTCAGAACAACGCTTATGTATTTTCCAAGGTCCGCGACAGCGGATCGAAGACGAAGACATTGTCCACACAACGGCTAAATATCTGTAGGTAAACAAAAACAAATGACGCTACTGCATAAATGTTCATAATAGACGAAAATCGATATCCTACGCTCATAATATTCATCATACATAAAAATAAAACGCAATAATAATGTCCATAAGACCATATCGTAGCTACAACGTCTGGCGAATGCAAATGGTTGTTTTGCTGTCTACGGTATACAACACGTGCAAATAATAAATTGCATGTATTTCATTAAAATAATAACTAAACACTCACCTAAATATTATATCCCAACAGTCAGCATTAGTGATGAACTGTATATAGAAATGGAAGCTGTATTTCACTAAAATATATGAAAATTGCACGTGCCAAATGCAAACCGTCAAGCCGGCGGGAAGGAAAATTGAATTTAAGAAAATAGATAGCATTTTGCAAAGAATGTTGCCATGTTCAAAGAATACAGATTAAAAAGTTTTGATTATGTTGTACGCTGCATGTAAATCGCTAAGATGGCGCCACCATATTATGAAGCATGCAAAGAAGTTAATTATTATTATCTTTTAATAATTTATTATTAAAACAGTAGATCAAAAATAAAAACGTAACTAATATACTTTTTATCTTTTTTCACATAATATGCCTGAAATAGCGTCATACATCGGAAATGTAGCATTAATATAATGTAACAGCTCCCTAAACATATCAAGTATGTTTATGTTATAAATCGATTATTATATGATGCACCACCGCCCATAAATGTTTATGGGAAATGTCGCTCGTGTGAAAAAGGGTTGAGAATGCATCAGGGTGCTGCCAATTTATTTCATTACATCCAAAACTAGCGAGCTTTATCAAAAAAGTTAGTTGATTTGATCATTTTAGATTTTGAGTTTTAATTTTTTAGTTTTCCATTTAATATTGACTACATACGTAATGTAGGTAGCTATACAACACAAAATAAATTATATTAAACGCAAAACTATTTTGTTTTCTTGAAATTGTCCACCGTTAGTTCTATAGTCCATGATATAATTGAGTGATAGTAACCATTATCTCCATTTCTCCGTAGGTTAACAAGCGTAGTATTATATAATATTTCTCTGTTCTACTGAGAACAGTGGTCACTTATTGTCAATTATATTTTCGGTGATTTCAAGTGTATTTTATTGTCTATATATTCTATTGACATAGTTTACTCTTGTGTCTGTTCCATTGTATTTTGTCGATCGATATTTTTAGCAATACTGGACTTGTTGATTAATTTTGTAATCACGGGGTAGGAACTTGTTATGATTTTAAATCTATTAAAATCATTCAAATAATTATTGTTAATATGGAAATGGCTTATATTGTACGTAGGTAGATAATTCAAGTAAAGTTGTGTACATCCTTAGACAGTTTTACTATAAATTATACTAGCTACCTACCCCGGCTTCGCACGGGTATTGTACGTACATATAAACCTTCATCTTGAATCACTGTATCGACTACATTAAAATCCGTTGCGTGGTTTAAATGTTCTGAGCGAACAGACAGCGAAGCGATTTAATTTTATACTATGTAAAGACAGCGCTAATTAACTTAAAAAAATATTTATTTATTTTACAATTGTTATATGTATTTTTTGTCAATAGAATTAAAATCAAACTTACGGCTCACGTGATGGCGAGTGGTAAGGGTGACGTTGGCTCTGCAGGAACATACAGCACTACCGACATGACGCTATCATATGATGCTTATGATACTATTCGAGAGAGACACTAAGATGTTATGCCTAATATCCTATAATTTTACTGCCTTATCTACACACCCTTAAAATGATCTTTCAAACCAAGCTGCTTGGTGATTAAAATAGATGGAACTGAGGTATCCACTCTGATGACTCTTCACAAAATCAACACATCATTCGTACAATTTGATGTAAAGATTTATCACACCACTTCCAGTTACAATTGTTATTTATTTCGTGTTTATCCAGGACATAATACTATTCTTAAAAAAAAAACGAGTTTTAATTAAATTTGCAGTGGAATTAGAAATAGTCATTGTTGCTGGCAGCTTGTCTACCATTCTTTTTATAAATATATAATAATTCTTTATATTTTTGACAACTTTTTTTAGATGTCACTTTTGACCACAGATAATATAATATTACTTTTGACTAATTGTTTGTTCTCTGTGAGGCCTTTTGGGAAAAATACACATTTTTACTATTACTTCTTTTTTTTTATTAATAATGGGATTGCGCTTGGTCTTACCTCATCTGTACCTACATACCTTACCTGATTTTTAATTAAAATAGTAGTTGTGTTCCAACCCCAGTCACAGTCATTATATTCGTAAAGTACTAAAGTGGATTTTGTTTGTTCGTATCAAGTTTTGGTATGTTATTATGCACAGTATTTGACATACAAATAGGATGGTCAGTGGTTTTGTGCTGCTCAGAAACAAACCTATCTACTATGAAATAAAGTTAATTTTCCTTTATTTCTTGTATACCATGCTAGGAAATCAAAGAGAATTATTATGAAATAAATAAAAGCGTTTTATTTTCCAATCTATATTTATAAAAAAGCACCGTCTGTAAAACATACAAAATTCCGGTAAAAACGGTTCAAATATTGGCATCTTTAGCGTTATAAGTAATTATAAAATTGAAAAATTATTCATTTATATACGACATTATAAAATATTATTGTTTACACACTATTTTATCAAACGATACATACTATTGCTTTAGAAACAGGCCGAATGCTATGTCTGACAGAGTTGAGCGAGTATTATTATACTTTGATGGTAGTTTTATTTATATCTCTGTCGACATTTGCAGAAGAAATTAATAAAATAAAAATTGTGGTATAATAATTTAGAACCAAATGAGTCTTGGTAACTACACTCCTAATTTATTTGACCAGAGGCATCACATACATACCAACAGTTGCAATCGCATAAACACTTAAAATACCTCAACTAAATATAAAACAATCACAAACTGAATAATCAAAATGGAGTGTTTATAACTTACACAAATCAGTACTGGACTTTATTAATACTTAATTATACGTCTCAATATAAATTAAATTATAAAATGCTCATAAAATACACTTACTAAAATATATACGTTACAGTGACATAGAAATTTCGGTTCCTATATACTAATGATAAGAACCAGTTTGCGATGCTTTGCAGGTGACGTAGGCCAGTTGGGTATTGAGCGGCATCCACACATCTTCACATCAAACCCAGTCAGTATTCGTCAGGTAAGAAACGAGAAAAATTACTCGCATACATTCTGAACATGTCACGTGGTTTTACTGAATCTTAATGATACTCCAGAAGTTACATGCCACCGAAACAACTATTTATTTAACTTTTTCATAACATTTATAGAAAGGCGTACAGTGAGAGAGAAGACAACCTCGCTGATGTCTTCTTCATTAGGTTTATGTTTTACGGAGAGAGCAACGTCTGTACGATAAAGTCATTATTAAAATTGGTATCAATCAATTTTCCGCTGAAATGCATGATGCACATGGATGGCAGATGGCACTTCCCTGACGGGTAATTCTGATCCGCCAACAGCTCGAAAGGGGCCGTTCAAGTATTACGTAGGCACTATAGGGGGCGGGGGGTCTTTTCTTTGCTTATTTTGGATGACATGGGGGTGGGGGAGTCTGTATGATGATTACGTCATCGGTCGTAATTTACTTTTTTACACGAATGGCAACCCTCACATTGTCTTTGTTAAAAAAACAATACATTAATTGAGAAATGTTTACGTAAGCATGGGGGGAGGGGTAAGAGCTTTGCTTACTTTTGCTGACAAGGGGGATGGGGGGTAAATAATTGTAATAAATCTGCTTACGTGATACTTGAACAGCCCCAAAGCAACAATCCGAGGATGTGTGAATAACGCTTTAAACAGTATACCAGTGGGCATCGCAAACGCGGCCATTAACTTATATCTAGTTTAAAATACGGCGATATTAGCGAGATATAGTTGCGAGTAATATATATGGAAGTTCAAGCAGTCTTCTCCTGCTCGATCACGTCCTTGGTGGGTAGCGGGTTCTTCTCGCATGTCTCTGTTGGCTTCAGCTTGCTGGGATCGAAGTTCTCGATGCCGTTCAGGAATTTGTTCTTTTCCTTTTCAGCCTCGATAGCTGTTGAATGAAACATGTATTAGAAACATTCGAATTAAAAATATGTATGCCTTAGTCAAGTAAAGAATGAGTTGTCTTGAAACACCTGACCAATTATTATAATTCGTAAATTTTAGGTAAGAAAAAATCAAAAATATTAAAAGGAAATTAATTAATCGCAGGTATGAAAATGTGTTTTACCGTAATACATTGAACTCCGTTGGATTTCAATGAAGTGAAATATCATTTTTATTTTAGAGTTAATGATCTGAGCCAGTCATCCCGCATAGTGTGTACCAACGGTATTACTTGGTGTATCGCGGAATGTATATTTTCCACCTTATACATACGCTTATGAATTTTAGAGATTTTAATTTAAATCTTCTTGATTTGTACAGAAACGGAGTCCTGCTGACTATGACGTTACTTAAAAATATACGTATTTATAAATGTATCAGTAATATTTATTATCTGTGGCATCGTTTAATGTTGATAATTATGAAATGATTAGATGCTTATGTACTTGTTTAATAATTTATTTTAACAAAAAGACGACATCTTTTATTGTCTTAACAAAAAACCGGAAGTGGGTCAAGGTGAGAGAATCATAGATAATAAAAAATAACAGAGAACACAAAAGTTGTACAGAGTAAGTTACTTTAAATATAGAGATTAATATATTCTAACATTTAAAAATAGAACACCATTCAAATTAGCTATAGGACTGCAGAGTAATAAAGCGATAAAAATAAACCTTCAATTGGCGGCAAGGGATTCTTTTCTTCTGTTGTCGCATGTTTCATCTGTGTCTTGTCAAAATGTTCCACGCCGTCAAGGAGGTTCTGGTGTGCCTTCTCGGCTGCTACAACTGGCGTAAAGCAGAATCGTGCAGCAAAGGTAAATAAATACAAAGCAAATTTAAACAAAAACACCAATTAAAAAAGTTTGCTTGCTATATAACACGGGGTAAAACATAACAATCTTTAACATGCAACACCAGACATTCATATTAGAAATCTACTATTGAACATCAAAAGCATTAATCAATTTATGTATTACTTTAAAAATAAAATTCTACGAATAGTTGTAAGGGAAATAATCAGGATAGAACTTTTTAAAATCTGGCAACAATATTTCATTACACTATCAGTTTCTTCTTTTTTATTTTATTAATGTTTTATGACTCTGGATACAATCTACATATTCGTTGCCATATTAATATTAATATATAATTCTGTTGTATAATTTATAGCACAAAATAAAGAGTATATTTTTAGAAAAAATACATTATATATATTGTGAAGAAATTTACATTTAGTTCATCCTTAAAAACGGTATAACTAAAAACTCCACGTATTTTGTTTAGTTTTATTAACAGTTTTAAAAAAAATGTGTTGAATAACATGTTGTTTTATTAATAACAGAATACTGGTGTTAAATGTAACCTTTATTTCATATACATTATAATTTGGGCTTCGAAGTAATTCTTTGACAGGACTCGAACCTGTCCCTTTGTTAGTTATCCGGACTGAGTAGGATTCCAATTACAGTACAGATATACTACTATTACTACTGATGGTGCAATATCTGTTAAATTCAATTATAACAATTTTAGGACAATGAAGCACGATACTAAAGTTTTTTACCATTTGGTTGTGACTTTTTAGATGATATTAATATAAATATTGTGCTTTATTATAAATAAATGACATGCAAGGGTGCAAATCCGTGCAAGTTTGCAAAATAGCACATAACTATATATATGCACGTGAGCTGTGCAGAAATTGTGCTATAAAAAAACATAAAATTATACTTTAAACTTACCATCTTTGTCGGGGAGAGGATTCTTCTCCTGAGTTTCCGTGTGCTTCAGCCTGGTAGCATCGAATTTTTCGATGCCGTCGAATAAGGACTTTTGATTTTTCTCTGTGGCAACATCTGAAAACCATAGACAAGCAATTTTAAGTCAATTCACTACGTTAATTGTATACACTAATCATTATTATTAAAGGTATAAATAACAAAAACTGCTCAAAATACACATGCTCGTTAATAATTCGTTAGAATTAGCTAATTAACATATTGTTTTAAAAAGTTAGCATCAATTTCCAAAATGGAACACTTGTAAATTAATTTCCATTAGCGAAACCGAAAACAACATGTAGTATAGTGTATTTCCCATCAGTGAAATTAGTGTTAAATTAAAACCAGACCAGCTTATATTATACCAGCATGATGAGAAAGCGACCACGTTTTGAATACGAGGTTTGTTTTTAGCATCTACACGGCCGTTACGGCTATATCATACATACAGCCCTAAAATTGGTGACTGTTAACTATATAATGTAATCACGCTCTATTACTCAATTATTTTTTTATTTTGGTTCGGTTTTTATCATTTCAGCGAATGGCAAAAGGACTCAGCCTATACAGCCATTGTCTACTCTATTCCTCAATCTCATGTATCTGTCAATGTCTTGTCTTAAGTATGTCAAACGTCACTCTCTCTGTTAAGTGTCAATGTAATGTTCCCGCGTTTTTTCTTCGTAATATGAATATTTAATTCCTATTATGAAAGTAATAAAACAATTGCAGTTGAATACAAGTTTATTTTATATTATCCACTGGCAATGCTCTGCCGAATAGTGACTACATCTGACGAGTCGTAGGGATCTTTCTAGATTGTCACCGATTCTAGGGCCGAGCGTAGATGCAGTGTAGTCTATTTGCCATAGGTAGGCGTTATGGTCACCACCCTCTAAGAATACCTAGGGCATTAGGGAGTACAATCTTTTCGACGGTTTCCGTCCGTCGCAACGAGGAAGTTTGAAATTGCTCTACGCCTTGCAGTAGCGCTGTATGTTGCTTTTCTTTTGCTAAGTCTGTTGTGAAATCGAAATGTTTTATTGTTATATATTCATGTTGGAATAGTTTTACCTAAATAACCCAGTTTTTTTTTTAAACTATTACATAGAATAATTTCTGCATATAAATAATTATATAATTTTCAATCAAGTGCGTAATGAGATACATGCCAATGAAAAAAAAAGATTCTAGAACAATTTAATATTTCTAATATTAAATTGTTCTAGAATCTTTTTCCTAATCTGTGCTAAAGTGCTACTTTTTTTTAAATTATTTGAACATCTTAAATAAATATTGCCTGCCAGTATCAGCATAATTCGAACTACGTTAATTACTTTTCTTAGTCCTCAACGAATGAAAAAAAAAGTCGTAAACAAACCTTCAGCAGAGGGAAGTACGATCTTCTCATTTGTGTCGACATCGCGCAAGCAGCTGGTGTTGAAGCCCTCCAGCTGGCTCTTGAGATCTGTGGCTACCTTGGGTAGGTCTTTCAGGGAGGGTGAATCACTCACTGAGCAGGCCATTTTAGATCTGGAATTAAAGATAGGTACTTTATAGTAGTGTTACTAGTAGTGTACTAGATAGTAGTGTTGTTAGACAAAAGTAACTGACGCCGACGAAGGACCCAGCTGCTGGTAATAAGTACCTCGCGGCACGACTAATTTATTAAAGGAAGTACTACTGATGCAAGTACTGGCCACTTCAATCAAGTAGCAAAAGGAACGGATTTATTTGTATGTAATCTGTGTGAATTTACAAGGACCGCTATGCCAAGGATTGTTATGCTATGTCAGCAAATCGGTGTTGTAATATTGAATGCACTGTTGTATTGGCCATATGCATGTGATGATAGTGTGTATATAAATAAATAATTAAAATAAATAAAAACTTTCAAAGTGATTATTTGAGCTTGCGTGTAACTTAGACCACATCATCACTTAACATCAGGTGAGATTGCGGTTGAAAGCGCTCAAATTTTAATATAAAAAAAAATTTGCTTAGTGGTTCTGTATGTAAAACAAAAGATTTGAAACAGTTACATATATCTTTTATTTTCAACTGGATATAGTAATTGTATAATTAGTTAGATATTTAAACTACTAGTAAAAGTACCTATAATCATTCTGCGAACTACCGGACGCGGCAAATATTTTGAACAAAATCATAATTCAAATTCATAAATAATTTATTCATGTAGGATTTAGTCAAGTTTTTACATTATATATTTCATTTACTTGCGTGTTGCTCTTTTAAATAATTTTACTATTACTTTACATTTTTAAGTTTAAGTGTGTGAATATAAACCACCAATTAGCACTAATGCAATTAAATACTCAAATAGAAAAAATATTGAATATATAACCAACTGCTTAAACAATTAATAAGAGGAAATCAGTCATAGTGATTAGAGCAGACCAGTCCCTACAAGCAGTCTTATCATAGACTAAAATATACGTCACGATTTTTCAATGAATACTCAAATTAACATGTATTCTCTATTCCTTGCGGATTCAATCACGTAGGTACCTTTATTTTCCAATAAACAATTTCCGAAGAAATGCATGAGTCATCCGGACAGTGAATGTATTTCCTGCGACACAATGCATAACTCTGCTAAACCGACCGTAAACATATTAATCGCCCATCGTTCTAAACAAGCCCCATAACAATTCATTCAATTCAAATCCGTTGTTTGAAACAGTGATTCCCTACTTTCTTTTCAGTCAAATTAATTTCTTTATACGTAGGTAGGATCATAATCTTTTTTACATGGTATAAAATTTCGAATAAAATTCCGTTGTCTGTTCGCTTATATTTTTTAAATTACGCAATGGATTTTAGTGCAGTTTTTGGTAATAGATACAGTGATTCAAGAGGAAGATTCATATGTATAATACATGTACACCTATGCGCGAAGCCGGGGCGGGTAACTGGTTTTAAAAATAAAATTTTCTAACCTAAAAAAAAAGCGTCGATTCATGTTTTAATTGGGAACATTTTGTCTTCCCTCAGATACTGACGTTCGAATTTTAAACAAGTAATGCATAAGAAGTTTTTTTTTTATTGGATGAAAACATCGTAGTGCAATCAACATCCGTCGAATGGTATACATAAAAAACATAGTGATTAATTGCTTAATGGATATATGTTGGTGAGACACCTGTGTAGGATGATAGGATGAGCATATAGTGAGCTTATATGGATGCATAACAATAGTTTTAGATATTAAATATTCCGCGTACCATATTTTGGCTTTATGACCTACGGCCCACAGAGTATAAAAACGACCTATTTAAAAATAAAACATGTTCACGAATTAATTTAAATTATGGCGGGAATCTAGCTAAGAATAAGCCTGTTGTTTCACCATTTCATCATCAACGGTTTACGCTGGCAGGGAACCAGTGGAAGATGATAAGATGAGGTCAGGCCAGTTAGCCCATCGTGACAAATTCATCAGTAATTTATCATGATGGTTTCTAGAACCGCGTGGACGTCACATTGATAGCTGACATGGTACATTGCTAGCTATAGATCATCAGTCCTCATTACTAGAGGGTAGGGGATTGTTAGTAATGTGGTCGATCTGTTTGTTCCGGCTAATCTCTGAAATGGCTGAACCGATTTTAACGGGACTTTTATTGGCGGGTAGCTGATGTAATAAGGAGTAACCTAGGCTACTTTTATTTTAGAAAAATAAAAAAAAATTTCACGCGGACGAAGCCGCGGAACAGCTAGTCAATAATAAAAAAAAGTCCACATTACTTTCCCCATACATCGTAATTTCATTGTGTGAACACACTCCTTACAAACGACTATGTTTACATGTTAACCGTACACAGACAGACAGAAGTGATGTGGGCGATGTACAATTACAGTTAGTTAGCGAGACCGAAATGGCGTTTGTTAGTTCACTCGGCAGTCAGTCAACATCTGTATGTACATTGTTGTAACTATCTGGCAAAGAATAGAATAGAATAGAATAGAAAATCATTTATTCAAATAAACTTTCATTGAAGCACTTTTGAAAAACGTTGTTTTGCCATATAAATTATTTCTGGATAGGGCCTTTTAACCTATTATAAGATCTATCAAATATATAACATCAATTTCATAAAAATCAGCCAAACCGTTACTGTGAAGTCCATTAACAAACAGACAAATAGGGGTTGTTGAAGGGCGAAAATTTAAGCTGTATGTATTTTCTTAATGCCACATAATAAAAAAAATAAAAATAAGAAAATTCGAAATATTAAAAAAAAAAATTGGGGTGAGCCAGCATTACCACAGGTATAAAAATTAGTTATAAACCTATTCTAAGAGATAAACATTATCTAGACAAGTCGACAAGCCGAGTTTCAAGTAAGAGAACTGGCGAGCAGCACCGTGTGTATATTACACGAACCATTTGGAACCACTTTTGACCCCCTACATACATCTTTCTGTAATGTTCTGTTTTGTTAGACATACATTTTATTTATGTATATGTATGTGTATTTTATTTATATGTATATAAATAGTATTTGTACGTATATGTGTTTAATATTCATATAATACCTAACTTTTTATAGTGCGCCATCTACCTTTCTCTTTCTCAAAACTTCTATCTTCCAGGTTGTCTGTAAGAGATTGCTTTGAGCGATGAGGCCGCCTTTTCTTAGCATATTTTTCTTTTTATTTCTTTTTGAAATTATTTGTTTCTTTTATACACAATAAAGAGTTTCATTATTATTATTATTGTTCTGTAATTGGTGCTATAAAAAGTATAAATGAAAGAATAGAATAGAAAATCATTTATTCAAATAAACTTACATTGAAGCACTTTTGAATAGTCATTACATTTTTTTTAATCTACCGCTCATTCGGAAAGCTGTCTCATCACAAGATGATCGAGCAAGAAACTTGTGTGTTGCTCTTTTAAATAATTTTATTCTTACTTTACAATTTAATTTTAAGTGTGTGAATACAAACGACCGATTAGCACTAATCCAATTAAATAATCAAATAGAAAAAATATTGAATGAAAAAATAATATATGCATTTACTGATACAAAAACCGTCTTATCGCTAAGCAATCTCTTCCAGACTACCTTTGGGTGTATAGAGAAAGTAAAAATAAGATTATCATAAGAGTAATAGACTTACGACGGCAGATTTGACATTGACATATCATAAGGCTCTATAATAGATAATAGACCTACATGAACATACGACGGCAGATTTGACATTGACATATCATAAGGCTCTATAATAGACCTGCATGACAATGAAAAAAGTTTCTTTCTTTAAAAAACAATTCGGTTACAATAACATAGTGTTGGGATGACCTAAATGCCTGAGTCAGGTAAATCCAGCTCTTCCATGTACATTGTCATGTGTTTTTTTTTTAATTATTTCAGACATTAGATAATTAATATTATAAACTAAGGCAAGTTACTTATTAGTATAAACAATAATAATAAAAATATGTCATGTGTGTTTTTTTTAGATTATCTAAGACATTAGATGACTAATATTATAAACTAAAGCAAAAGTTACTTATTAGTATAAAAAAAAAAGTTTACATGAATAAATATATTTTCATTTGTGTATTTCCTTTGAGGCAGGATGTTCGTACTTGGTATCCCGACAACAATGACTCGTATGACTCGCGTCTATTGTTATTCCTGGCACGTTAATGATGACACTTACCTATTATCCATTTCTTGTTCACTCATACTGTTGTTTATTCACTCTATATCAGGCTGGTAGGCAAAGAGAACCGATACAAACATCTTTGTATTTCATCTATACATATAAATAAAATTGGAGTGTCTGTTTGTAATATTGAAATAACCGTTTTTACTACATGCATATGAATATAAATACGGTACATATACCAAAATATTTTTTTTACGATATTTGTCTGTCGGTCTGTCTGCTTGTTCCGGCTAATCTCTGAAATGGCTGTACCGATTTTGACGGGACTTTTTTTGGCAGGTAGCTGATGTAATAAGGAGTTACTTAGGCTACTTTTATTAAAAAAAAAAGTTAAATTTCACGCGGACGAAGTCGCGGGCACAGCTAGTCCTGTATATAATTCATTAATAGAATCAACGTACTCATACAGCCGCGTATTCGTTATTCCTATAATTATATGTGTAACAAATTTCCAATAAACATTCAAGTGGTTTGTTAGCGTTTATATAGATTAAAATAGCACACTATTATTTTCCTGTCCATTATGTGTACAATTGCTCATCAATTTATTATGAGACATATTATTGTAACCTCAATATTCAATTCAGTACGGTTCTATTTGTATTGTTATTTACTCAAACTCCTATCTTATCTATGATTAATACCTACTACACCGAATTTTTAAATAAAGAAATCAACAACATTGTAACTAACATTTATTATTAACTACTAATAATAAATGTTAGTTGCATTTGTTTTTTAAAAGAATTGGCCTTTGGCCTCAAGACTTATACAAATATTAAAAAGTTTAAACGTAGACTAGGCTGTACGATGTAAGGATCTTTGCCTGT